CACACACACACACACACACACACACACACATACATATATAAATGTGTATTAGATGAGAGTCTCCTAACTTTTAGTTGTCAAAATAAAGGCAATCCAGGATATGAAATTTGATAGAGATTAATGTAGTTTCTACATATGACAAAAACTAAGGAATTACCTTCTCACTTTATCCAAATATGATCCTTTTCCTCCCAGACTCTCATGTCGATAATGACATTACTGTCACCCCAGTTGTTAAACTCTTGCAATCCCTCTTGTCCACGCATCTAGACCTTTACTCCTGCACACTGTTCCTCACATGCATTCCTTTATTACTTTTCTGATGTCACAGCTTTCCTTACCACCTGATTTCTACATCTTTTCTTCATTGAATGTATACCCTGACTCTCTTTTATTTCTTATTTCCCTCTCATACCCTTCTTCCCACCTGATCTACAGACATAAGCCTCCTAACATTGAACTCTGTTTTAGTATCATATTCCTGTTCTAAAAATCTTAAGAAAGTCCATAAGAGCTCAGTGTGGCTTTTGCAATTTTCCATAACCACCTCCAATATTATATTCTTCTTTTGCTTTCACTAACCTTTCCTAAGCACCCTGTACTCCACCCACCCTGAGTATCTTGGCTTTTCCTCAGCATGTTTAAATTTTTATGCTTTATGCTTTAGGACTAATTAGTCTTTCTTCCTTAAATGCTCTTATTCTCAATCCTTGCAAAAAAATCTACATATTTTCTCCAAAAGCCACCTCTAAATAATGCCCTTTGCCCATACGGTTCTTTCTACTCTCTTTGAAGAACTAATGAATTCACATCATAATGTTTTAGTTGTATCTCATCTCTATACTTGAACTGTAAGCTATTTATAATAAATTTAATTGATAAATGCAGGATAGTATATTTAATAATTGGGAAATACAGAATATATTTAATAAACCGAAATTTTAAGTCCTTTCATACTTGTTAGAGCACCAGATCTTTGGCATAGCAAGAGCTCTGATTTGATGAACTTAACTGAATTTCTATGGAACAGTTCCATAAAGTTCAGGGATGCGATCAAAATTCTAGAATTTTGGTTCTATATATTTTGCCACGAAGACTCAAGTAGAGGATGGGGGGAACAAGAGGTAGCTTACTCTAAGCTTCTTCACACAGCACTTACTACTTTTTGACTCGGCCACTGGAATGTGGCTTCAATCTAAGGGGGACAAATAAAGCAATAACTCCTCACCAATATCCCATCCAATGGAAAACCTGCAACGAGGCAGCAAAAATTTCCCAAATCTTCTTTTCCATGACTTTTGCCTTAGAGTCCATGCTGGGGAAGAATTAGGGGAGTGCAAATGAAGCAGTCTGTGGACATTGTTCAAAATTATCATTCAAGAAAAATAAGACTATGGTCCCTTCAGCAGCACATACACTAAAATTGGAATGGTGCAGAGATTATTGGCCTCTGCACAAAAGTGACACACAAATTTGTGAAGTATTCCATATTTGGGGATGGATCTGGAGACTACCATGCTAAGTAGAATAAGCCGATCCCAAAAAACCAAAGGTGTAACGTTCTCTCTGATATGTGTTTGCTAAGCCACAGCAAGAGGAGAGAGGAGTATAGATGTTCAGTGAATAAGACAAAGAGGAATGAAGGGAAAAGCAGAGGGATGGGAATAGGAAAGGCTGCAGAATTAATCTGACATATAAGAACATATGTTCAGCTGGGCACGGCGGCACATGCCTGTAATCCCAGCATCTTGGGAGGCTGAGACAGGAGAATCACAAGTTCAAAGCCAACCTCAGCAAAAGCAAGGCACTAAGCAACTCACTGAGACCCTGTCTCTAAATAAAATACCAAATAAGGCTAGGGATGTGGCTCAGTGCCCCTGAGTTCAATCCCTGGTACACCCCCCACCCGCAAATATATATATATATATATATATATATATATATATATGCACACACAGGTACATATATGAATATACCACATTAAATTTCAACATTGTGTTTCAACATTGAATTTCAACATCCACAAGACTGGGATCCTAATTAGGATAAGATATATTCAATGCTTGTATAAATATATCAAAATAGATTCTACTGTCATGTACAATTAAAAAGAACAAATAAAAATTTTTAAGAAAGAAGAACAACAAGACCACACCAGATCCTCTACCAATGTCATTTAGTCTAGAGCATATTTCCAGACCCTGAAATGAAATATACTATGCTCTGGAAATATCTATTTAAAGAGGATTCCAGATGCAAAGATCAGTTCCAAGGTCTCCTCTAAGGTGATCCTGACTAGGGCTTAATCCCAGGAGCCTCTCCTTTTCAACATTTCCTTAGTAATTTCAACCTCAGAGAAGAAATGATAATGCCAGGACTGAAATTACATAAAATGTCCCTGGATACTGGAAGGAGGAAAATCTTACCTAAGTCATTCCTTCCAATCCTGCACTTCTCTTTTGGCAAAAATGACTGCATTATGAATCTAAATATTGGATCAGTAGGTTTTTATAACTTCTTTAGCCTGAGTCAGAAGCTACAGATCTTTGATCTAAAATAATTCAAGCAGTGAGGTAAAAATGTGTAATACATTGTGTCAGAACAATCATGAGATTTTTCATTTAATACAAAGATTACACACTAAATAGATTTGCAGCTGTCAAAATGTCTCTCAGAAATATGGAAGAAAACATAAAAAGGAGGTAAAAGTGAAAACAGCAATAATTTTGCATGTCAGATAAATTATTCTAATTTTTCTATCTGTTATCTGAAAATATACCTAAATAACCTCATCACTATTGAACTGTTTTTCAGTTAACATTTCGGTAATCTTGAACATAACAACCTTTGCCTTAGGAATAACAAATGTGTGTGTGTGTGTGTGTGTGTGTGTGTGTGTGTGTAATTTGCAAGCTTTCTAACAAGAAGACTAATAAGATATATTAGGAGCTCACCATTTTTTTTAACTACACGAGTCTGCTGTTTCATATGATCATTTGGAACACCAAAAACTTCCACAATCACTAATGTGTCAATCTTGTTAGAGGATGAGTTACCAAGAGGCAACTGGATACCACTGATGAGCTGCACAAATGCATATGAACATTAGAATTTAGCGAAATATTAAACTGCATTAACACAATTTCAAAATAAAATCAATTGCATATTCTAAAAATATTGATAGACTCTATCAGTTCCTACAAAATTGAATCTGTAACACAAGGCAAATTTTAGAATCAAAGTCTTTTACTCTCAAGTATCAATAGATAAATACTAAGACCATGTGTAAATCATTCCATTTTACTAAAATGTGTTTAGTACAGCAGAATCCACAAGATCCAGG